ATTTCTTATTATTTTTTTGTGCAGTATACATTTGTATTTCTAAGGCATAAATCTCCAATAACTGCGTCCCTTTCTTCAGATCATCTTCTCCGTCACCAGTCTAAACAGTAAATATATTAAACATGAAAATGAAAAAAAAAAAAAAAAAAAAAAAAAAAAAAAAAAATACAATAAATATAATGTACAAATACAAGTATTTAGCATACACATACTTGACAGCTTTGATGAAGTTGTTTTAAGATTTTTGCCAATTTATTGAAGTCTGAACGATCGTAATACAGTTTTCCCAGTTTTGTGTTTGTTTTGAACCATAACCTGTCATTCTTTGCATCTTTTAATGCGTCTAAGGTGGTTTCATAGAAATCTTGCAGTAATTCCATCTTAAAGAAAATGTATATTATTGTTAAGAACATTTATTAATAACATTCTTTATTTTTGATTAAAAAAAATAGAGATTCAAACTTACATTCTTTGAGGTACTGATATAATCCAATATAGAATTTATAGACTTTTCTGAGTGATTTCTGGTAACTGCACTTTTAATATAAGTTAATAACTGTTTATACCTTGCCATCATTTCCTTATAATTGGACTAGAATCAGAAATATCATTATGTTAATTTACATTGTATATTTAAAACATACAGAACACACAAAATTATAAAAAAATATTTGTACAAAAGTTTTGTTTACAAACCAGTTTAAAATTAATTTTGATCATCTGTTTCAAAGCTTTAAAACCCCATTCTCCTTTTTCACCACCTTCCAGATCCAATACTTTCTGAAAACTTTGTAGAGCTGCTTTTGGGTCATCTTCCTTAAGAGCTTTGCTATTGTAATATTGATTTTCTAAATCCACATCTGGTTCTGAGTTAGAATCTTCAGAATATTCCTAAAACAAATCATTAAGAACTGGAGTAATTACCAATTGAAAAACATGATCACTTAAAAAAAATATTTGCTTTATTAATATATAATAACACTGGTCAACAAAATAACCTTTTTTCAGGTTCGAAAATACTATCAGTAATTTCTAATAGATTTCCTAGTGCTGATTACGAATCTAGCTGTAAAAATGCCTAGCAGGTCAGGATTCTGAAAAAATTGCAAATAAATATGCAAAAAACGCCATTTTTAACACTTTTGCGTCAATTATATCTTTTAACTGATGAGTGCTACAAAAATGCAAAAGAAAGTTGTTGACTTGCACTTGATACAGTAAATACAAAAAAGTTTGAATCAACAAAAGAAAATCATGTACAGAAGTGAAAAATTCCAGGTCTAATGATTTCTTAAATCTTCATAACTTTTTTTTTTGTAAAATCGATTGACGCAGATTGTTTTTTCGATAAAAAAATATTTTTAACAATTTGTCAAACCGTTTTTGTTACTTAAAAATGGTAAACTAAAAAATACATACATACATATGTACGTTTTATGTTATCATTTCTAATTCAAACAAAAAATGTTTTTTTTATTTTGTCATTTTTAATTTAAACAAAAACTGTTTAAACACATTGTTAGTGCTTTGTCGAAAAAAAACAATCAATTTTACACAAAAAAAATTATAAAGATTTACGAAATCACTAAACCTGAAACTTTCCACTACTGTACAATTTTTCGTTGTTCGAACCGTTTTGTACTTGCTGCATCAAGTGTAAGTTACAAAAGTTCTTTCTTTTGAATTTTCGTAGCACTCATTAGTTAAAAGATATAATTGACGCAAGTGTTAAAAATGGCATTTTTCGGATATGTATTTCAGATTTTCTCAGAATCCTTACGTGGTAGACAATTTTTATAGCCGAATTCGTAATCAGCACCAAAAAATCTATTAGGAACCATTCTGCTTACCTTCGTAAATTTGACACGTGTCAACTAGTGTTAATACATAAAACTAAACATAACCAGTGAGTAGAATAATCAAACATGTTCATAATTAAAATTTTCCAGTGACAAATTCATTATTTATCAGAGAAGAACATTCTCACTTTCCACACCTATAAGATCGTTTGTTGAACTATTTTTAAATACTATATTTGGTAGCTTCATACAGAAATCCTAACCTTGCACGTGTAGGGGAGAGAGAAAGATATTGAGAAAAATCAGATCTTGAAATTTCTAAAGAAACTCACCAATCCGTAATCTTCTTCCTCTTCGCACATAAAATCATCCTCGGCGTCTGACATTTTGCAGACAGTTGTGTACCGCAAATGTTAGAGCAAAGAATTTCAAACAATCCCAATAATGTCTGTATCAAGTATCAACGAATAATGCGATCCTAACCTAACCTAACCCTAACCGTACATGCGTAACTGTAGTTTTTAAAGCTTTGTATCATCAGTGATCTTCAACGCAACAAACAAGTACAAAATATACCTCAACTGTAAAGGCGAAAGATTTATTCGTGTGTTGAAGGGAAACCAGAGTTTACTTTAACTGTACTGGTGCTCTGGTGCTCTTATGGCTACTTTAACTGTAGAAAACACGGTCAGAGAAGATAGAAATTCAATGAGTACTTTCTTCTATTGGGTGCGTTCAGACAACTCAACGGTTCAGAGATCATCACTTATGATAGGACTTCTTCAAAATCTGCTCCGGTTCCAAAAGTATGATCCAATCAGAAGTGATTATCTCTCAACCGTTGTGCAACTGTTGAGTTGTCTGAACGCACCCATTCTGTTTATAGATTTCTCTCCTAAAATTGCCATTACATCAGAATTTAACCAATCAGAACAATGCGAACCAATTTAACTTTTATCAAACTTTGTTCTGATTTGTTAAATTCCAAACAATTTCAATCTAGCTTGATATAAGCTTAAACGCGAAGTTATCAATCACAATCAAATAGAAAGTTCATGGATACAGCTCGTATCGAGAATCTTATCGACAGAGAGAAGCCTGAGAGAGCGACCAGGGTATGTTCTAAATAAGTGTCAGGTTATGTTCGTTGTGAGAAGAGATGAGCAATTTAGATGAAACGTCAAACGAACCGATTTTATACGAATTATTAGAATATTTTGTTTGGAAACAAGAACCGGAATTGATAGTAAGTTCTTGAATTGTCAGTGAGAAGATACATAAAGATCAAACAATATTGCCCTGTATTTACAATTGTTCCATATTTTAGAAATGTAAAAACGATGCTGTTATTCTCCCGACTCCTGGGACAATAAAAAATGCCCTCAGGTATCTTAACAACAGGTATTCTTTACCAGAAAACATCACACAGCAAGTCAGTCTTACATTACCTTGGAAACTTGCTGTTGGAGATCATGGTCGTGTACTTGCTATTTTGCAGGAAAATGTTATTGAAATACGAAAGGCCAAGGATGAATATTCTTCTATAGTAGGCAAAGCATCTGGTAAGTGTGATTTTGTAGTAAATATGCTTATTTTTTTAGTATATTTGTGTGTACAAATCATTCTTAATATAAATATTTTACAGCTCCAAGAGATGCTTTTCCTCAGTGGCGTAAGCTTGCATGGAGTCCTGATGGAATGATGTTAGCATTAGCATCTAGCAGTGGCTATACATCTTTTTACAATACAATAGGAAATAATGTCTTTAATATAAGTCCCAAAACAATCTCACAGAATCCTAATGTTCTTGAAGCTGGTGATGCAATAGCATCTATGTTGTTTCTCAAACCAAGGATACAAAATCAGAAATGGGCCTACGAGTTTATTTTAATTTCATACAGTGGATTACTCAGATCCTATCACATTTCTACAAACAGCTTCATTGTAAATTATGATTTCTCTTTTGACAACTTTTATAAAAACGGCATTAATTCCGTTGCCTATGACGAAAGGCACAGTTTGTTTTATGTTGCTGGAAATATGATCACACAAAAGTTAACTGTAAATATGTTTCACAAATAACTATTTTTACATATGCATCTTTCTATATATTGTGTACGATTATAAGTGAACTTTATATGATTTTCAGTCTACTGCATCTGAATCTGGATTGACTTCATGGCGACTCTTGGATGATCATCCATACTGCAAATTATCATTTACATTTGAAAATGCTGCTATTAATAAATCTCGGTTATCTATATGGAACTTGATTCCCATCTTCAGTTTTCAACCGGAATCATTTATATTCCTGATTAAAATATCGTCAAATGGCGAATTTTTGATATGTTTGCACACTGATGGTTCAATCTCTTTGTGGGGCTTGCCAAACTTGATATTACAAAAAAAATGGAAGTTATTCGAGCAACCGGAATATAATGTGCCTAATCCTTTGGGACTTACAAAATCTAAAAAATTTCCAGGGTTTACCACTAAAGTTACGGAATTTCATCCAATAGATATTGGCTGGTGGTCTGATCAGGTGATATATTTTGATCATGTATATTATTTATAACGAGTTCTATAAATCAAGTGAATTTTTATAGAATGATATAAATATTGTCTTCTATATTTAAACACATATGTTATGAAATATATTATTATTTTTTAGGCTGTCATAGTAGCTCGATATTCAGGATCTACATCAGTTTGTTCAACATGGAATTTAAAGAATTTGTTAGGTGTCAGTCCAGAATTCTTAGCAGGACAACCACAAATATGTGAACTTGGTTCAGAGAAGGGATTTTTATGTTTAGATTGTGAAACTTTTATTACGAGCAAAAAACGTAGTAGAGAACTCAATGATTTATCAGGTTTGTTTATGAGACACATTCTTTTTTGCTTACAATATATATTTTTTGCTTCAAAAGCAATGTTTTATTTTCTAATAAAGAAGCTTCGTCGGAAAGCGAAAAAGATGATGATGAGTTGGAACCAGTTACTATATTAAATTACACTACAAATTTAGTACAGAGTGCATTGTATTCAATAACTGATATTGAAAGATTTCAACCGAAAAGAAAAAAGTCGAAAGTGTTACATCGAACTTACAGAATTTTAGGCTTAAAAAGTACAACACCAGAAGAACTTTATTCTAGAAAAATAGACATTGAGGTGAGTAAATAGTATAATGACGTTCTAATATATTTAACATGGACTTTTTATTAATTAACTGAGGTCATTTTTGTGCTTTTTTAGGAATATGAGGAAGCTTTAGCTTTGGCAAATACGTACAATCTCGACACAGATCTCGTATATCAAACGCAATGGAGAAAATCGGAGTTGTCTTTAAATGCCATTACGGAACATTTAAGTAAAATAAGTAAGAGATCTTGGGTTTTAAATGAGTGTGTTGTACGCGTTCCTGATACTGTGGATGCCGCAAGAGAGTTATTAAATTTCGGTTTAAGAGGTGCAAATCTAGAAACTTTAATAGCTATTGATATTTGCGACAACGATAAGTTTGTGATTCCTGATACAGATGAGGATTGGCAAGCGCCACACGAAAGCAGTGTAAGTTTAAATCAGATTAGTTAAAATAACGTGAAAACTTTGTTTTACAAAGTGTATACGACATTAATATGAAAATGTATTAAGTAAATTTTAAGTTTATTTGAAAAAAATTTATAAAAAATAGGTGCAGAAGATAAATAAAATGTTCGAAAAGATAGATATAAAAAATTTATCTGAAGCTCAAAAAAATTTAATTAAATATCGAAGGAAGCTTTTAAGTCATCTTGACAAATTGCTAACATACGAAATTATATTAGAGCCACCACACAAATATAAAAAAGAATTTTATGAAGAGTTTCGAAGAATGTCCGCTGTTGAAAATGCAATTAGGTACTCAAATATTGTATATTTATGTATCTTATTTATGTATATGTATATAATTATGTACATATGTACTATAAATATTGTTTTAAGTACAGATTTGCCAAGGATGGTGATTGCCGAAGTGTTGAGATAATGTTTATCTATTATGGGAAAAGTTTGCTGCCTCATTGGCTAGCTATCATTAGTTTTTTCCCAGAAACCTTAAATCCTGTAAATTATCAAAAACTCTTACCAGAATGTGATGCGCAAGGTCATTTGTTCTTGTTAGACCAACGTGAATTACGAGAGAAAGATTGGTCAGAAAAACCTGAGTTTAATGAAGTAATTAATCTAGATTTGGATGATCGATCAGAAATATTGTATGAATCGAATCCCTCATTGCTAATATATAGGTAAGAATCTTGTTATTACATATTTGCACATGTGTGACTATCTTATTATCTTGCTATCTTTATTTTGCTTTTAGAAATACAGAACTTACGCCCCAGTTGTTGCAAAAGTGGTATAAAACTCGTGCTTGTGAAATCGAAAAAAACAGTGCTATAGTAGATAACGCTTTGCAGTTAGTTAAAATTGCAAAATCTCACAATATTAATGGCGTGGAAGATTTGTTATTGGATTTGGAAACATTGGACGATCTCGTGTACAAAGTCTATTTGGAAGATATGTCGTTAGACAAATTAGAGAAGTTGACTAACGTAGAGAAGATAAAACTCTTAATGAGTACATCGACTGAAAATAATTTTGTTGAAAATATTAAAACTCTTTTGTTGCCTTTTATTAAAAGAAGACATCAATATCTGGTATGTATAGTCATATAAATGTATAGTTATGTAAATGTGTCTGAAATTACATGTGTACTATGGATAATATCTAAACTTTCAGGGCGGAGAACCTCAAAAACACTTACTAAGCGATTATTTAATCTGCTTAAGTAAAGACGATCTTACATTTCCGGTCAAAGTTTTCGAGTATTTAAAAGAGACACAAGATAATGAAATACTGGAAATGATAGATGATATCGCTACTTTAGCGTTAGATTGTGTATATGCTTGTAACGATGTTGACATGTACGAGAAAGCTAAAATTATTGTAGATTCAATATCGAAAGATCACGATAGAAAAAAAACAAACGCGATATGTGATATATGGGACGAGCTTAAAGAAGAACTTAATTGCATCAGACTGCTGAATAAATATGATGTAAAGATAACGTTGAAATTTGTCCAGGAAAATAAAAATAATCCTGATACTGCCAAATCTTTATTAATTCAAACAGCAAGAAGCTTAAGCAAAAGGTACACACAAAACGTGCGCAATGTTTTTTTTTTTTTTAATTTTGAATTTTATTGTGTCAAATATAAAACACAATAAATTTATTTTTACAGATTGATACCTCCGGATGAAAAAGAGTGGGCAGAATTATTGAGTGATATGTTGGACGTACATGGATCAATGTTTAACTGCATCGGTGTTGAGACTTGTTTCGAAATATGTGTGTCTGCTCGCCTGGCTTCAGGAATTAAACTTACGATTCAGAATTGTGCCACTTTAATAGAAACTAAGAAAAATGAAAAATCCTTGGTAAAAGTATCTTATGAGAAAGCAATCGATCTTATATTAGAAGCAACCAAAGAATATTTTAACGGTTCGAAAACATTTACTGATCCAAATATGGAATTAGCTAAGTCAGTATTATATTTGTGTAATTACGTATATTTAAAAAAAAAAAAACTACTTTTATATAATATGTATAAATAATTTTTTTTCAGAACTTGCCTTAATCTTATCGAAGATGATAATGGAAAAATTAAAGAAGAACGTGATCTTATTAAATCGCTTCAAATTTTAAACGAATTCAATATTGATATGTTACCTCTTCAAGTTAGATTAACAACGGATAAGTTAACCTTAATTGAACATTGTTTGAATAGTCAAAGAGATGCTTATAAATGTGAACAAAGATTATTAACGTTAGCAACTTATTTACGTATAGAAGGAAATAATAAAAGATGTCGCGAAGGAAAAATATTAGAACTGATAGCAAAGAAAGCGCTCAAGGCAAGACACTTACTTTCTTTTACATGAGTTTAGATATCTACAAGATTATATATAAAATATAAAAAATAATTCGTAATATTTTTATACTGTGTATTTTTCCAGTCTGAAGATTATACCGCATGTGCTACAATATGTATACAATTGGCAGAAAATAGTTACATTTCTGCCTGGGAAATTTGTTTAAATTTAGGATGTTGCAATAATTATAGAGATTTAAAAGTTAGAAAGAAATGTTTGTGGTTTGCAATAAATAATGGTCCCAGCGATATATTAAGTACCGCTCTAGAACATGTACATCTGATAGAATTTCAAATGTTGGATAAAAATTTGGAATCGTGGCTCTCTCTTTCAAGTTCTATATGTTACAAAAGTGATAGATATTCCGAAAAGGAAAGTGTTAAATTTGAAAATAATAAAAGCGAAGATGTTGAATATTCTGATGTTGAAAATGATGAATATCCCACATATTCCGGACATTTTGACCTATTATCAGACAGTACAAAGGTAAACAATCTATTTAATAAATAAACATCATTACAATGTGTTAAAAAAATTACTCTTTTAATAATACGTACAAAATAAGTTTCATATTTTTATCATTATGTTCATATATATTTTATACTTTACAGCCATTAGAAAGAACAAATAAGAAGAAAGAAGAAAAAAAAAGTTTGTCTATCATGAAAAAATATACGTCGTTCTTGATTCACAATATGACGTCCACTATTGATTATTTTGACTCTAAATGCAATTCAGAAATTAATGCACAATGTGAAGCTGACGGAGAACAAAATGAGGAAAATATTAATGCTCAAAGTTTTCCATGCTATTATGAGTCTTTGCATAAAATGTGTAGAATAAGCCCCAATGAGACAAGGTATAATAAATATTCGATGCCTGATAAAAAAATAAACTTGAAATGCTATCAGGCGCTTTTAAGAACATTTACATTGAGTGAATCAACTTACTGTAGATTTCAAACAACGGAATATAATCATCGTAAGTATGACGAGTTTTTTACGTTGAAATAAAATAATGTTATTTTTTTTCACAAATTGTATTTTGTATACAAAAATTGCACAATCAATTTTAACTAATTTCAGTGGTCTTAGAATGCGCGCGATACACTATAACAGACGACTGGTTACTTGGTATGGCATATTTGATGAGTTTAAATAGAGATCGTATTATGGATGCTCAAAAGATTTTCTCTGCAATGCCAAATGAATTGTATATACATACTGCAATCTATTATTATTCGTTAGAACTATATAAGAAATTGTATACTGAATGTGAAAATTTATATTTATATAAACCGTTAAATTTAATGGAAAACATGATAGTTGCAGCGCAAAAGTCTGAAGACTGCGATATTGTTAAGGCATTGCGTTATTGGCATTGTTATTTACTCGGTGACTCGCAAATTGCCAGACCTGAGCTGGCGGAAATGAGAGATACGAAGAGATCCGTAAATAAAGGAAAAGAAGTTACCGAAGAAGACATTCTTAATAGCATTGAAAAAGTACGATGGAGAATAAGACTTGCAAGTGAAGCTGCTAACGCAGAGGAGAATAGAAGGAAGCAGACGAAAGGAACCGTGGGAACAGTTACCGACAGAAAAGACAAAAGTAAATCCAAAGAAATTTTGCAACAAGCAACCGTTCATCAGTGGATTGCCGAATGTGCAACAGAAGAGGATCGATTCGTGACGTTTCACAAATTATTTAATCTAATCAGTAATATTGAACAATATCGGCAAGTGAGAAAAATAATATCACAATGGCCGAAATTTAAAATGTCAGAATATACCACATTAAATAACCATCCGATTCTGGTAATGTTGGAAGTGATGCTCTATTTCATATCTCGTATTAAGGGGCACGTAAACGATTTCGACAAAACGATTTTGCAAGAGATCGAAGAACTTACCGGATTGCTAGAATCTGAAGTATATATCGCAATGAATTATATATCATACTTTTATATATTTCGAATAAAATATATTTCAATTATATATGTTTAATCGCAGATTCTTGAGCACTTCTTGGAATGGCTAGAACATATTGATATTGAATACATCCTTTATATAAAATTATGTTCCAAGGACACGTCTATACACAAAAAAGTAGTAGATTTCATTATTAACGAAGAAGAAGACAAGAAGGTTAGCTCTTTCTTTTTTTGGTCTAATACGCGGATAAACATACTTATTCATTCTTATAATAGTTTACCTCACATCTCAATAATTTTGTGTAATCACAAACAATAATTTTTCTAGAGTTGGGTACTGCACTTGCCAGCAATAGTGTTGGAAAAACTATTTCAAAATAACCTAACAGCATTATTTAAACCAGATCATCCCGTATACAAACAGATTATCCGGCATATCTTTATGGATGAAAAAATCTTCAGTGAGCTCAACATTGAGGAAAACGCGAAAATGCTCCTGCAAGAATTCAAGAAACAAAACTATATACCGGAAGCTATGTATATTATAAAACTAATGAAGAGAATGCCGTCTGCTGTGTGCACGTTTGATACTTGTTTTGAACTATTAATGGAGTTGTGAATCTTTCATGTATGTAAAACTATACACAACTGTGATGCATTTTTAGGGAAAAAAAAGTTATTTTAAAAAGAGAGATTTATTGTATAAAAACAAAGAACTCTGCTTTACCTTTGTTTAAATTGACGAAAGAAATGTGTGATGTATGTAGAATTTAAAGGTGTTTTACTGCAAAATTCAATATACTTCGTCAAGTAAAAAGAGTTTCATGTAAAACAACTGTAAATTCTCATTTTTCGCAATTGTTCATTCTGAGCGGGTATAGTTTAGTCTTTTGTATATATGTTTAATATACACATACATATTCTATTATACATATGTGTATATAATAGAATATATACATATATCAAGGGAAAAGTGATTTGCAATGATGACAAATATATCGTGCGAAACAACAAGTAATATCCGATGCAGTTATTATCGAACTCATAACATGTCCTCAAGCCTCATCGATTCCCGTCTTTCCGCCAGTGTTTCTCATATCTAGTAATTCACTCGGTTTTGTGAACCTCAAATATAACAACTGATATACCGAGATATCTGTTCATCAATTTTATCAGCCTTGATAAGACGTTTATTTGGTCTTTACGATACGCTGTATCGATGTGCTATATCTACATTATCAATTATTATACTACCATAAATATCACTATGCGTTTGCAACTTCTCGTTGTGCGCTGGAATCAACGCGATGATTGAGCGTGGACGCTCATTGCGCATACGATCGTACGTCTAACTTGGTAAACTGCTCCCGTCCGCTTGGAAACTTAGTGCGCCGCTTCCTTTAGGCGAACAAACACGTCCGACGGGTAAGAGATATATTTACATATATTTGCAAATATATAATATATTTGCTTGCGTTCGCGTTTAATGTTTTACTAACATTGTTTAAAATATTTAAAGCTTATTTAGTTTTTAATTCTTCTCTCACTGAAATTGAATTACATAAATATTTTTTTAGCTTTTAAAATTTAAAGCTATAATATATATAAAGTTCTAAAATTTAAATTTTTATGTGTACAAATATATACATATAGCAATATATAT